GATAATATATATAAATTGTAACAAGTCTTATATACTCTTTTTTAACAAGTCTTATAGTTTTGTCACATTTAATTTAATTAATATTAATGATAATAATACTCAACTATTATATTTAGGTTATTTGTTTCTTTTTTTTTTGATAAAATTAACTGTAACATCATTTAATAATAGTATCAAATTAAAAAATTAAATAATTATAAATAATAGTAATATTAAATTTCAATAATTATATTATTATTAACAAAAACATAACTTTTTTAAGAAACTATTCAATATTTCCTTTTTTATTATATATTACAAAATTTTTTAGAAAATTGCAGATATTAAAAACAACCGATTTTTTTTATCATGAAATCCACATATTTCTCTATGACATAATTTTTAAAATTAACATGTTCATTTAGAAGTAATAAGTTAATAGAATATAAATATAAAAAAATTCGCCAGTTTGTCAAGAAAAAAATAAAAATAAAAATTTTAAACAAATATATTTGTTATAATATGTTATAGGATAAAATTTTTAAACATGAATTAAGTTTTTTGTGGAATAATTTTTTGTGAATAAATATAAAAAGGAAATATAATTGAAATATTTATTTTGTATGCTAGGATGAGAGTTAATTAAAAATTTAATTAAAACATCATCTGTCTTTTCTTTTCAAAATCTTTTAAAAATCTTTTAAAATTATTATTACAAAGTTACAAATTACAATGGACGAAACTAATGATTCTCTTATCGTTAAGTTTTTTTAAAACTTGAAATTAAACAGAACAGAAAATATTTTCAATTTTTTATCTTAAATATTATATAATAAGATAATAATATTATATATGTTATATATAAGATTAATTTTTTTAAATTATTTTCGTTCATTTCATTATTTTCAAAAATTATCAATAATTAATATATAATAAAATATAAAATAAAATAAAATAAAATAAAAGTTTAAGAAATTCATATAATACGGAAATCACTACGTGCGAAAAAATCGATGAAAATGTGTAATATAAATGACAGCATTTACATGAGAATAATACAAGAGGAAACGAATAAAATTTTTTAAAGTTTGAAAAACTGTTTGAAATAGAAAATAATGAGGAAACAAACGCATTTCAGAGATAGAAATCTATATGCAAAATTCAATATAATTTTTTTTGCAAATCTGACAAAAATAATGTTTCGTAGAAACTGATCAGATGATCAGAAACTTTATTGAAATTGTGTGATTTTTGAGTTATACAAACGACGAAATAATGAATGATATATATAATCTGTGATTATCAAATTAAGATTATAAAGCCTCATCTAAATTTCTATGGAAGATAAATCCGAAGATTATTCGTAAACATATGAAAACAATTCGCATATATTATCTGCAGATAATACACAAATAATTGAAAATAAAACAAAAACTCAAAACAGTCTGACAAATTTTATCTTTGATTAAAAACAAGAGACAATATAGATAAATACAAAATAAGCATATATCCAAATAAAATATTAAACTATTTTTGTAAATATCTTAATATTACAAGTAATCTTATAGAAACAAGAATTGTATAAAAATTAATATTTTTAATTAATTAATTAATCTTTTTTTATTTTTGGACCAACTTTTTATAATATGATTTCAAAATTATTTTTAGATATTCTTACAAAATTTTTAAATTCGAAATTGTCTAGATTTAATTATTTGAAGAAATTATTTTCATATCAATAAAACTGATTAAAAATCTACATCTCTGCAATTGTTTAATAATTCTTTGTTTTTTTTTCTATATATGGAAAAACAGATATATCTTATAAATTATATCAACATAGAATGATTCAAAGATTAAAGACGATTAATATAAAGATTATTAGATGTGGATATATGATTGTCTACATATATTATCCGCAAACAATTAGATGATAACGCCAGAAATTATATGTACTTATATAGCAATTAATTTATTAGTATCTGTTTTTGAAATATTTAAAACTTATTGATCGTTAAATTAGCACAAAGATAATTACAAGCAGATATAATATATAATTATTTATATTAATATTCGAACTTGTTTTTATCTTTTTTATTATACTATATGCAAAAAGATTATTTAAATATTGTATAGCTTGATATGAAAATAAATTGATGAATGAATATTTATTTATAAAATTTAAACAAAGAATGTTATATTTTTATAATATCTTATTAATATTTAAAAATTAAAAAAAAAGAAATATTTTATTTTATAGAAAAATATGTTTTATAAAATTTCGTAATTATAAAATTTTTTAATATATAAGTTTTTTTATATTTTAGATTAAATATATTAGATGTAATTATTTCCTTATATTTTCATATGTTTTAAATAACAAAATATTTAAACAATTTTATAATATAGAAAATAATAAATTTAAAGATAAAGCAATGTTCAAATATTAATAATGAATAGATGTTGATTTTTTAATCTAGAACTAGTACGATATTCATATTTAAATAAAATCAAAAAATTATATTTTTACTCTATTTGAAATAAATGAAAAATAAATTTTATGTTTTATTATTTTAATGATATTAAAAATTAAATTTGAATTAAATATTAATATTTCATTATATAATTTCTAAATTGAATATTTTTAAAGCTATTGCAATTAGTTAATCATTAATTAAAATTATTCCAACTTTAGATAAAAAGTTAAAAGATTCGATTTTGATAATTTAATATATAATATTATTATATTAATGTTAATTATTTATTCTATTATTCTAATAATAAATTAATATTATTACTTATATTAATGAATATTATTTATATTAATGAAAATAAATATATATTTAGCTAATATTAATCAAAAACATTATCTGTTGTACAAACTGAAATATGAAATATGAAATATTTTTTTATAAATAGTTTATTAATAAAATATATTTTCCATATATTGTAATTTAATAATACAATTGAAGAAAAGAAATATATGATAGAAGAAACGTGAAAATAGTTTAAAAAAATAAAAATAACATTGTAAGTTTTTATATGTACATACGCAAGTCACGAAACAGTTCGAAAAGCGCAACAGCCGGAAGTATAGTTGACCAAGAGCACAAACACCATATACATAATAACATAAGAGCATGGACAACACACATCCAATCACAACAGAGGTGCAAATCCGACTGGTCACGAACAATGAACAAAATGTCGACGATCTAAGCCGATGGAATCCGTAAATATCCGAATTTTCACGACAAGTTTACGTGACTACGAGTATTCGTAGGTATACTTTATTGTACGAAAAGTACAATGTACAACAGTACAAGTATTCCGAGAATCGTGGTAATAAAAGTTTTTGGAAAGAGACGTATTAAGAAAAAAGCAAATTTATGCAAAAACATATGGAGCATAGAAATATAAATATTATGATTATATAAAATAGGTGTATAATGTTATAATAAATTACAATTGGAAATTTTATTACTAGATTACTATTTATTACTATAACTAAATATTATATTTTCAATTTTATTATTCTTTAATCGTTAAAAAATTCATTTAAATTAAATCGTTAAAGAAAGCATTTTTCCTTCACTTGTAATATTTTGATTTATTTTAATTTTTAAAACAGAAAATTATTATTTATTTAAAATTATAACTTGAAATTATATTTGATTGAAAAATGCAATATTTATCATTTATTGTATATATAATATATTAATTTTAATGTATTTTAATTAGAATATAATGTAATATGATACTATACATGCATATAATTTAACGAAAGCATAATGATATTAATATTATTTATCATATTAAAAATTTTTTGAAATTAATATAAATATTAATATTCTTGCATTAGAATTGTATAAAATAATTAAAATTATAATATTAATAATTAAAATTGACAAATATTGAAAAAAAAATAATAAATTTTTGAAATATTCAAAAATCAAATCATTAAATATTTATTATTTAATAAAATAACATTTAATATAAAAAGAAAAAAGTACAAATATTTGTGTAAAATCTATATATTATATCTATATCTATATCTATATCTATTATATCTATTATATTTATATCTATATATTATATTATATATTATCTATGTATTATATATTTATATATCTATATCTAAATCTATATATTATCTATATAAATCTGAAAAAGTAAATGATTAAAAAGTGATTAGTTCAATTTAGCTGTTAAGAAAAATAAAACTTGTAAACCATTAAATAAATTATATAGGTATAATTATAATTGAATAAAATAATAATAAAGTAACAAAAAAATCTAATTTATGTTTTAATATTCGTTTTAATTAACAATGATTCTATTATACATATTTTTTTTTGTAATAATTACTGTTACAATATAAAATTAATAATAATAATAATAATAATAATAATAATAACAACAACAATAACAATAACAATAAAAACAATAAGATAATAATAAACAATAAGATAACAATAATAATAACAATAATAAATAATAACAATAATAAACAACAATAATAATAATAAGAAAATTCTTTTTAGACAAAAATTAAAGACAAAAATTATGATTTTATTCTATTACAAATTGTGATATACTAAAATTATAATAATATGTTTAAAACGAATCTATTATATATCATAAAATCAATAAGAATTTTTTCTATTATTTATATATTTATATATATTTATTATAACTTATTATAATATATTTATTATAACTTTTTTATCAATTAAATTTAAACAAAAATGTTTATATATATTATATAAATGTAATAATAATATTATATAAATGTTTTTTAAATATTATATAATTTTTTAAATATTCGAATCAATTTTTGTCAATTCAATATATAACTATCGAAACTAGTATACTAAAAATACTAAAAATAATATTCAACAAATCGTAAAAAGATCAATCGAAGCATTTGACTCACAACAAGAAGACAAAATGACAAAGAGAAAAAGAAAAAAAGAACGATTAAACAAGAAGGATAAAATAAATAGAAATCGTAAACTTACCCTTGTGTGTTGTCGCATGATAAGCTC